GCTCTCAGTCATATGGTCTGAATTTTTGGGTAGACCTGTGTGGAGTCAAGAGTTGGACTTGATGATCCTTATATGTTCCTTCCAAATCAGGATATTCTATGATTCATTGTCCAGGTATATAATATTTTAAACTGTTAGAAAACCAAGAAAAATCTATGTCATTAATGGATTGGTTATGTTCTGTGTAACTGTATTTTAAAGTTCTGATGGGAAAAAAACTAGGTGGATTTTTATTTTTTTATTTTTTAATGGTGGTGCTTTTTTTTATTTGTTTGTTTCTGAATCCCAGAGTCTAATAACAAACAAATAGACTGTATTTTATGTACTTATCTTTAGGACTTAGTTATGCCACTTATTTTATTCACCACCATGTGCAAGAAGGTCATATGCTTTCAACAGCACTGAATATTATTTCCTTGTTGCATGTGTGTGATGTAATATCAGTTCAGTGCTTGAAATTTTTCCAAATTATAGAGACCAAAATAAAATATAGACATCGTAAACACATTTTAGGCTAGAGAGAAATGTAGAAAGAGAATGTACTTTGAAACATAGCCAATAAAAAGTTTTCATCAACATAGCCAATAAAAAGTTTTAATCTTCAGCTAAAGATGTTAATTTTTGTCATTTTTGTCATTTTGCAGAGTTAAAATGGGTATGCTCTGTGCTTTTTTTTTTTTTTTTTTCCCTGTTGTAGCTTGCCTGGAGGTATATGAAAACCTTGACATATGATGCAGGTTTCTGTCTGTTTTGTCTATTGTAATGAATGCTAATTTAATAATATTGTATTTCCCTCCTGCCACTTAAGTTTAGAATGCTGCTTTAACTTTTATATTTCCCATTTGGGATGTTATGCCACTGTATATATTTTTCTGGCTTCTGTAAGAAAATAAACTATACACCCTTCTTCTATTAAAGGCCACTGGTGACACCAGTGTTTCTACACCTTTGGAATATTTAAACCTATATACAAGAGTCTTCTTTAGTAACAATATTTTGATACCAGAGGAGAAGAAGTTTAGCAAACCGTTTTGGATAGCAAAACTTTCTTATCTTCCAGTTAATAATCAGAATTTTAAAACATAAATATAAAAAAATATAAAGTAATACATAATAATAATAATAATAATAATAATAATAGAAATTTTCAGCATGTAAAACCAATACAAAGCGAAAGGATAAAAAATACAGCTTGAAATCCTATGAAATACTGAAAACTGTTTGAAAACTATGAAATACTGAAAACTCTTGATCCTCCCAATTTTTTATTAATTTTTTTTTTTTTCATGTATTCAGTTGTTCTCAGCAGAGTCAATTACCATTTCAAGATCTTTCATTTTAGTCTTCTTTGATGCTGTTAGTTGTCAACAAGAAATTAACAATAATTACCCACAAACACTGGCACATAAAGATCTCTCTTGATGCCTATTGCAATGAGTGGTCAATAAAGAGATTAACAGAGTAATACGTGCTATACACACTCACATCTCTGTAGAATACCAAGGTTCTTTCCAGTGTCTAGGTTGTGAAGTTGAATGTTCAAAGTCAGGTTATGTATCTTTACAAATCATGGAGTCATTGAAGTGACTTGAGAGTCAATAGTCATTAGAGCTTCCTTGCCTGCAGGAATGTTCCAGTCTCGTGGTTGTTCAATTGACCTCCTGACCAACCACCATGATAAGATGGTGAAACTTCTGCATAAGATAGATGAGAACACAGTATTTTATCCTAACAATAATAGAAACAAGTTTATTGAAGACTAGCTTTGTTTGCTATTTTTTTCTTTCATTTTCCATTTAAGTTCCCACAGTTTTGAGACATCTGGCTAAACTGATGAGTCCACTCTCACTCAACTCTTAATTAAGGTCTATTTTTATTACCATGTTTATGTTGATCAGGTTTCTGCTTTTCTTTCATCTCACTGTTGTGAGACTTCTTGAGGGGGATTTTAAAATGCTCTGCCATTAGAGAAGCTACGATCCAGTGGGATTTAAAATTAGTGTTATGTATATTCATGAGTCCCCTTTTGAAACTTCATGTACCTGTTTATTTCTTCATCTAACTTTGAAAGTCTCTTTCTTGTTGCTATTACTGGTGCTAAGAGAATGACCAAAATTTACCACCATTTACCTTCCTTGCATTTTTTTTCACTCTTTTAATGTTCTCAAAATTTCTCTTTTTGTCTGTAAGAGCTTAAATTAAGCCCCCAGTTTTTATTCCTGATAAGACCTATGAAATAAGCATTTAACTTTCATATGTTCAACGTAAACAAATTTGTTGATATTTGTTCACAGTTCCACAGACAACAGGAAATTTTCTGCAGTGTTCATTTTCTATATTTAGCCATTTTTACTGAATGGGTGTCCAAGGGATGGTAGTCTGAATTAAGTTTTCCTATGAATCTTCTACAATAGGTCCTTCTAATGTAATCAGGGTATACTCCACCAGAGGCAATATTACTGGCACTGTTGGAAAATTTTTCTTCCATGTTGTCTGGCATACCATCAAAAAATGCAATAGTACTTTGAGTTGCTAAGGGCCAATATAGTTCTACATTTGGTAGTTACATCAAGTACTCAAACACACTCCATTAAGTAGTTGATGAGGTATTTCCTTGGAGTTGCCTAATATGTGAATGTACATTTGAGCTATCAACAGAAGAAAGAAGTTGCATAGCTGTAATGGATAGTGTTTGAGATTTTGGGTAAAATTGTACGTTTCTTGTCTGCTTTTCTCTTTCAAAGTTCTTTGATGTTTCTGAATATAAATTTTACTAGTTGAACAGTAACAGAGAGGCCTTATAACCTTATGTAAAAAATCCTGTGTGTGTGCTGAGCATAAGCAACTGTAGAATATGAATGTAAGTAGGAAAATTAAAAAAAAAAAAAAATCTACAGTCTTCAAGAGACTTAGTGTATGATGTTAGTGTATGTATTGTCAGTTTAAGCATTCTCATTTATTTAAATGCTGCCTCATTTATAAGTCTCAATATGTTTTGTTTAAATTATCTTCAGCTATAGTAAGTGTGTTTTTATTGTCAGAAGTATGCTGTGTCAGAAGTACATGTTGCACATGTTGAGTTAAGCACATGCACCTGTTGGACCTGAACAGTCGTCATTGGCAGATAGATCATGTTTTACTAATATGATTGCCTTCTGTGTTGGAATGTTTGGTTATGTGGACCAGGAAGAGCTGTGTATGGAATATAGAAGGCTTAAGGTTAAGAAGGCTTTTGGCATCCTTTTCCACTGTATTTTTAATTGTAAACTGAAATGGATGCAATGGATTAATGGAATGTTAGCTGGACTGAAAACTAAAAGGTTCTTTGGACTCAAAGTATAGTAACTAATGTCTCATCTTCCAAATGGCAGCCAGTCAATATCATAGTTTTTCTTACACAGTCATTTTTATCAGTGATCAGGATGATGACATAGAATGGATCTACAGAAAATTTTCATGAGGCTATGTTGGAAAGAGAAGGATGAGTGATATGCTGGACAGAAAAGCTTTGAGAAATCTGGGGACTGGGCCTACAGAAACCTAAAGAAGTTTAAAAGGAAAAGTTTGAAGTATTGCACTTCAGACAGAATAACCTAGTTCATTGATATAGTCTAGGAACAGATTGCAGCAGCTCTGCTGAAAGCAGAGGCTGTGGTGGATTTTAAGCTGAATATGAGCAGTGTGCTGTCATCACAAATAAGGCAAACTGGGCTACAATGGAAAGAGCACGGGGAATCTAAATATCTAAAGAATTTATTACTCCTTTATACTTTGCACTGCAGCCTAATAGTTCAAGAAGGATCTTGAAAAAAAAATATTGCAAACGATCCAAAAGGGGGCTATCAAGAGTCTAACATTGTTAGAGGCCTGGAGCACATGATCTTCAATGAGGGATTGTGAGAGAGGGTTTGACTAAGGGGTTTACTTAGCCTGGGCAAAGGACGGATAAAGAGACCTTTAATAGCAGCCTGTGAAATATGAACAGAAACTACAAGGACAATGGAGCTAACTCTTCTTAGTGGTGACTTTTGTTACGATAAAACGCAAAAACCACAAGATGCAGCTCCATTGCAGACATTAAATAAATGTCCAAGTAGGATTCACCAGGAGGGTTGTGCAGCACTGTAACAATTTACGAAGCTGGGTGATGGAATCTTCATCCTATTTTTGTTTGCTTGTTTTGTTTTGTTTTTGACTTTCTAGACAATGCCACAGTTGATCTGATCTAGTAGTGGTTGTAGTCTTTGAGTAAGATGTTCAAGCTAGATGGCTTGTAATCAACATTTCTATGATTCTATGCCTAGTACTATTGGCTACTTGCATACTTCATCTGTCCTTGTACACTAAATTGGGTGAAAAAATGCAGTCAGGGACTCTGACCACTGTGTTTATTACACATGTAGACATGATAGTATAGGAATTCAATGATTAATTAAATATTTCCTTTTCATCCCACAAACATTGGAAGATGCTTACACACAGAGACAAGAAAAGCTTTACTGTCATAATCCCTAAACAGTAGCAAGAAACATGTTTTGTTATCTCCATTCCCTTGGATTCCTAATTATGTTTGTATAAATTAAAAACTGTTAATAGCGGAACACTGCAATTGATTAGCTTCTGTATGTTTACAGCTCTCTTTAATTGCTTAAAAATGCCATTTGTCAGCTTCATGTTCTATTGACAATGTTATTGATTTATCTGATTTGGGCTTTGTCTTGTCTCTCGTACATAAAACTCACATATGCAGTTCAAATGGGAAATGACTCTATTGATTTCCTTAACTTGAGCCCAAATGCTAAAGATTTTTGGATAAGCTTTCTCATTACTTAAGCCAAAATCAATAAGAGAGAGCATCTTTTAATGAAAGAGCAGTTTGAGCAACGTACTTCAGAAATGGGGTCCTGTTCATCCTTTGCTTTACAAATCGATCTCCTTGGTTCCTTAAGTGAGGTCCAATTGGTTGACATTGTGGTTTGTCTTTGTGTGTAAACTTGCAGCTTCAGAAAAGAGAAGATGAGCTACAGAGACAGCAGAAGGAAACACTTTCTCTGCAACAGAAAAAGGATGATCTTACTGAAGTACCTCACTATATATTGTAAGTGTGCTCTGTAAAATTCTTGCATTTGTTGCCATTTTTCACTATATAATTTATGGAAGAAATAATATGCTTTTCAGTGCTACCTCTGTGTCAATTATTATTCCTTTGTTTGCTATTATCATACTATTTAAATAAATATATTGCATACTTAAATGATACAAATAGTCCATTCACCATTATTATCTTCTTTTATGGTTGTTCTGTATAATATACTATCACTGACAACAACCTGATCATATTGCTTTGTTAACCTGCTAATTTGTTCTGGCTTTGTTTCAGCTCTAGCCTTAAGAAATCAGACTCACCAGCTCCAGACGGAGCTCTGTAAAATGAAATCTGAGATAAAAAATGGAGAGCTGAAGTTGAAGAGCTACAGAATGAATTGGGTATATCCAGCTAGTTATATGGGCAGGCCAAATGTTCACGTACTGTACTAAGATATCATTAACTGCCTTGAACTACATAAATTAAGCTGATTATGCCTTCACTTAATTAACTGAGAATGACCTATTGATGTATAGGCAGAATAAGATAGAGACTACATGCTGCACTGTACTAAATTTATAGGTTTTCAATTAGTTCTACTATTGACTGAGACTACTTAGAAAAGGAGTTTACTTTTATGTTTTGTAGCAGGTTTTTAAATTTGTAAGTTATTTGAAAATGTTCTGTTGGTTTGTATGCTCTTGAATTATTTGAAAAAATGTTCTAGTAAAAATTGTTTATTCAAATAAATCTATAATTTTGCTTCATGGCTGATTAACATATATACAATATTAATCTTTGAAATTGTCATGACTTATTATAACTTTTGACAAATCATCTCCAAAATATTAGTCATCTCCAAATTTGAATCTTAAAAAAAAAAAAAAAAGATTACAGATTTATTTTCAGCTTTTAAAATGGTGGTGATTCTTTAATATGAGTTTTCCATCTTGACACATTTCTTGTATTCAGTTACGTTATGGCATACCACTCATTTGAGGATTATGGTAAAACTTGCCCTTTGTAATTCAGTGATCACCTTATTAAAATATTCCCTAAGGTTTTCCCAGTCTATACTGAAGATGACTATATTGTCTACACATGCAGCACTTTTCATTCAAATGCTGTCTACAAGCCTTTGATATTTACTAGTCATATACAGAACACAAAATACATTAAAGTAAATTGATATAGGTCCTTTACTTCACTACAGTTAGATGATAGCGGCAGCCCCAACATGTGGTGCCCAGCTGCTGTCCAGCTGCTTTGAATATCACCAACTGACCAAACCAACTCTATATTTTATCCTTCTTATTGATGTGTATATTAACATGTAACTTGTTATTCTCCTATGTGATTTCCATGATTTTTGTTGCCTTATTTACTTTTTTTTTTTAAAAACATTTTATGTGTTTTAAAGTTTGCCTCACACCTGCTTGGTTCTCAGTGTTTTATCTGTATTCTCCATCCAGTTAATTTATATTCTGCTTCTGCTTGTTCACTGCCTGTTCCTATACTTTTTTTCCCATTATAATTCTGAAGCATGCTGAAGCATGCTTCTTGGATCTCTTTTTTCTTAAACTGTTTCCTCTTAGTCTACTCTATGGTGATTAATAGATAAATTGATGTATTGGTGTTATATGTATTATACAAATGTATAATATATATGTATAACATATATGTAAATATATATATATGTATATATATATACACACATATATATGTATGTATGTATGTATGTATGTATATATATATATATATATATATATATATATATATATATATGTAAATGTATTATATTTTGCTTTACTGGAAGAAAGCTGATGACCCTACCCTGTCTTTCTTGTCTTCCTGACAAGAATCCAGACCTTTTCATAGTGCTTGACCATCGAGTTTTACAACTTGCACATTCATGTTGTATTTTAATTACAGTGTTTGGTTCTCTTGTCTTTCTATTTATCACATTCACTTATGATTAACTTCAAAACAGATTAGAGATAATTAGGCTAGGAATCATGCCTCCTTTATTATTTTATTTTATTTTATTTTATTTTATTTTATTTTATTTTATTTTATTTTATTATTTTATTTTATTTTATTTTATTTTATTTTATTTTATTTTATTTTATTTTATTTTATTTTATTTTATTTTATTTTTTAATTCAACCAGAATAAAAGGCTGCACCTATATTTATAAATGTAATAGTAGCAGGGACTGCTAGTAAGGATTCTAATGCTATCTATGCACATACAAGTAATTTATGGGAATTGTTCAGGTGTTTGTATGGACATAGGCTCATATCCAACAGTAAGTCAACATGTTTAATACAGTAGATGCTGGCTGAACCATAACCACAGGCCTCAGTGACAAATAGCAGTGTGTGGCATGTTTAATTTACTGGCATGAATGTAGTCAAAGTGTCTTGATCCTGACTGACTTTTTATCATTGCCTTACCACAAACAATAGTAGTTCTACTAATAACTGCAACAATTTAGGCTGAGAGAAGATGAAATGGAATTTATAATATTGTTTTCATAAACTAAGAATAGATCTGAGGGTAAGTAATCTTAAATGATTAACAAGATCCTTTCTATGCAGCACAAGATGTAGTATATATTTTTCAGAGAATGATACGTAATTATTTCTGCCTATATATTTGCATTCCTGTCAGAGATGGAGGGCTTCTGCTAAAGACCCCTTTTCTAGCACAATTTCAACATGTAAGCTAAAGTCATCAGAATTCCATAGTCATTGACCTTGAAGGGTATTTCAGCATCACAGACAGTGACAGGTGTAGGCATTCCTGCTGAATGACAAATATATCATTACCCTTTTCTGACAAAACTCTTAGACCTGTATCAATCTGTGCTCTAGGTTGTAGTTCTTGGACTGTAGGACGTAGCACTTAGGAACATGGTTTAGTGGGTGCTATTGCTGGTAGGGGGGTGGTTGGACCAGATGATCTTGGAGGTCTTTTCCAATCTTTATGATTCTATGACTGTAGAAGAGCCACAATAAAGAAACTCAGTTTTACAGGTTACAGCTCATTACACCTGTTATCTGTTCCCAAATGTTTCTGTTGTTTAGGTAAGAATATTAGGAAGTGTGTCACAGAAAAAAAAATCTTCACTGGGAAATGTGACAAAGGAAACGATTTATGCATTTTCTTTAATACTCTCTTCATTGGTACAAGGTACTCAACTTGAGCAAGAACGTGGGAGTCGGAACAAGGAGAGCTGACACAGATGAACAAAGGGATATTCCATGTTGTACAAAGTCTTGCTCAGCAGTAATCCTAAAGGGGATGTGTGTTTATGGGAGGTACCTATGTTTGCGGACTGGCTGGGCATTGCTGTACTTGTGGGCGGTGGTAGTGATTGACTTCTGAATTTTTCTTCTTCTTCTTTTTTCTTTCACTTATTAAACAGCCCTCATCTCAACCCATGAGTTTTCTCACTTTTGCTCTTTCCGCTCTTCCCTGTCTTGCTTTGGGGCCAGGTAGTTGTGTGGCACTGAGATTCTGTCCAAGATCAACCCACCATATAAGAAAGAATTTTTTTTTTTCCCTATGGGCTTTTAAAATTTTATTTATTTTTAAGACTGGCAAAATAAAGGGCTGTATGCGTATATATCAGTTATTGGGACCTATGAGATGGCATGTGACTCTGTGACTCAGTACAAACAGTTTTGAAGTGAAAGTGCTCCACTGTTCTTAAAAATAAACACATATTGTAAGTACTGTAATATTCAGAGCTGCGATTTATTTATTTGTTTAAAAACAAACAAACAAACAACTCAAAATTCACAAACTAATTAACTAAAACAAGTTAATTATTTAGATGAAGGAGATGTGAAATGCATGTGAAACCCTGCCCACTGTCTCTTTCCTCCAGGATGGTTCCCAATCCAAAAGTTTTCAATAGCATTTAGAATTGCCAAGGTTCTCCTAGCAGACACTGCCGAGGTCCTCAAGCAGTGTCTCTGCTGATTTTCTCTTTCCTCTTCCTTCACTTCTTACACCAAAATCATAGAATCATCATGGCTGGAAAAGACCTTCAAGATCTGGTGGGCATCAGTGAGGACAGCATCATTAGGCCATTTTATATCCTGCACGGACACCTTTTGAGCAGAGAAGAAAAATATATGTTGGTTCTGATATCTACCACTGTACTTTCTAATCCCTCATCTGAAACAAGTAAAGATTTGCATTGATTTGCACTCAGATTTTATGAAATCTCAGTATCTCACTAATACTATATTTATTAACTATCTGTTTCCAACAGCAATCACAAAACTCCTAAAACAAAATCATAGTATTTAATTCTAAGATCTATAATAGAGAGTAGGGTAACTTTGAGCGTTATGATTGGTGCCACAGACAGAGGTTTGTCCAGGTAGACCGTGGGATTTGTTTTGAAAAACCTGGCCTCTTGGAGGCTGATGGGGTACACTTTCAGAGGAGAAGAGCATCTTTGGTTATAGGCTTGCCAAGCAGATGAAGAGGGCTTTAAACTACAGTTTCTGGGGGAAAGGAACTTCAGTCCATCCAACTCCTCTCAGTTTGACACCAGTGTTAGTGATAGATATCCAGAGCCTGGAGTATGGCCATAGGTCAATGAGAGAGCATCTGAAGAGCAGCACAAAGGAATTCCAGCCTCTCCAGCCAGTAAGTCAGCTTCTTTGGGGGCACAACTCAAATGTCTCTATGTTAAGGCATGTAGCATGGGGAATAAATAAGAGGAATTAGAAATGTACGCACACCTGCAGAGCCATGACCTCATTGGCATTATGGAGATGGCTCCCAGGACTGGAGTATTTGAATGGAAGTATGCAGCCTTTTAGGAACAACGAGGGGAGGCATAGAGGGAGTGTCACCCAAGTCCCAGAAGACAAAGGCAGGGCCTGTGAAAATGAAGCACCACCCACTGTAGGAAAAGAGGTTCAAGAGCACCTAAGGAACCTGAAAGTGTACAAGTCCATGGAACCTGATGAGATGTACCTGTGGGTCCTGAGGGAACTGGCAGATAAAATTGTGTATTGGGTCTGGCTGGAATGTTAACGTTCCCTGCAGCAGCCCATACAGTACTGTACTCTGCACTTGTAGTTGGAACAGCAGTGTTATCACACCAGTGTTGTGTCTACTCCTGAGCAGTGCTGGCACAGCATCAGGCCTCTCTTTAAACCTCCTAGGGGGTGGGCAAAAAGTAAGAAGAGAAACATCACCAGGGCAGCTGACCTAAACCAACCAAAGGGCTATTCCATACCATGTGATGTCACACTCAGCAATAAAAGGTGGAAACAGGAAGAAGAGGGGAGGGGTGGGCTCTCGTTGCGAAAATGTCGGTCCTCCTCCTGAACACCGGCTACTACGTGTGTTGAGGCCCTGCTTCAAGGACGTGGTCAATCATTGCTCATTTGTGGGAAGTAGTGAATAATTTCTTTCCTCTGCACTTCCACATAGCCTTCATTTGTTTTATTTGTTTGTTTTCCTCCTTTTTTTTTTTATTTTCCCTTTCCCCCTCCTTTTTCCCTTTTCCCGTTTTATTTCCCTTTAGTTAAATTGTTTAGTTCATAATAATCTTTATTTAATTATTATTATTATTTCCCCTTAATTAAATTATCCTTATCTCAACCCGTGACTTGTTCTTTGCTTTACTTCTCCCCCTCCTCATCTAAAAAGAGGGGGAGTGAGAGAGTGGTTGTGGGGTTTAGCTGCCCAGCAGGGTAAAACCACCACAAATTGCTAAGCCACTATCTGTCATACTTGCGAAGTTTTTAGTTAGCTTTTAGTTTCTCACTGCTCTACATTGTTAGTAATAGGCAATAAATTACATTAATCTCCCTAGGCTGAATCTGTTTTGCCTGTGATAATAATTGTTGAGTGATCTCCCTGTCCTTATCTCAACTCCTGAGCCCTTTCCATCATATTCTCCCCCTTTCCCTTTGAGGAGAGTGAAAGAGAGGTTGTGGTGGAGCTCAGCTGTGCATCTAAGTAAAACCACCACAGAGGGCCACAAAGGTGATCAATGAGCTGGAGCACCTTTCCTATGAAGATAGGATAAGAAAGTTAGTGTTGTCTAGCTTGGAGAAGAGAAGGCTCTGTGGAGACCTTAAAGTGGCCTCCTAGTACCTAAAGGGGCACTACAGAAAGGCTGTGGAGGGACTCTGTCAGAGAGTGTTGTGATAGGATAAGAATATTGGATTGGATATAAGGAAGAAATTCTTCACTATGAGGGTGGAATGTTAGGCACTTGAACAAGCAGCCAGAGAATCGATGGATGCCCCACCCCTTGAAGTGTTTAAGGCCAGGCTGGATAGAGCTTTGAGCAACCTGATCTAGTGAGAGGTATCCCTGCCCATGACAGAGGGGTTGGAATGAGATGATCTTTTAGGTCCCTTCCAACCCAAAACATTTTGTGATTCTGTGACTCTATGATTGTACAAATTTATTTATTTATTTTTTAATGCTTATGAATATAAATATTCATAAGTATTTTTGACCTCAGTTCCTGGGAAGCTCATGGAGCAGATTATCTTGAGAGTCATCACGCGGCACTTGCAGAGCAAGCAGGCGATCAGGCCCAGTCAGCATGGGTTTATGAAAGGCAGGTCCTGCTTGACGAACCTGATCTCCTTCTATGACAAAGTGACGCACTTGGTGAATGAGGGAAAGGCTGTGGCTGTGGTCTACCTTGACTTCAGCAAGGCTTTTGACACCATTTCCCACAGCATTCTCCTCAAGAAACTGGCTGCTCTTGGCTTGGACTGGCGTACACTTCGTTGGGTTAGAAACTGGCTGGATAGCCAGTTTCAAAGAGTTGTGGTGAATGGAGTCAAATCCAGTTGGGGGCCGGTCACTAGTGACGTTCCCCAGGGCTTGGTGCTGGGGCTGGTCCTCTTTAATATCGTCATCGATGATCTGGACGAGGGCATTGAGTGCACCCTCAGTAAGTTTGCAGATGACACCAGGTTAGGTGCGTGTGTTGATCTGCTCGAGGGTAGGAAGGCTCTGCAGGAGGATCTGGATAGGTTGCACCGATGGGCTGAGGCCAGCTGCATGAAGTTCAACAAGGCCAAGTGCTGGGTCTTGCACCTGGGGTGCAATAACCCCAAGCAGAGCTACAGACTGGGAGAGAAATGGTTGGAAAGCTGCCTGGCAGAGAAGGACCTGGGAGTGATGGTGGACAGTCGGCTGAATATGAGCCAGCAGTGTGCTCAGGTGGCCAAGAAGGCCAATGGCATCCTGGCTTGCATAAGAAGCAGTGTGGCCAGCAGGTCTAGGGAAGTGATTGTCCCCCTGGACTCAGCTCTGGTGAGGCTTCACCTCGAGTACTGTGTTCAGTTTTGGGCCCCTCGCTACAAGAAGGACATCGATGTGCTCGAAGGAGTCCAGAGAAGGGTGACGAAGCTGGTGAGGGGCCTGGAGAACAAGTCCTATGAGGAGCGGCTGAGGGAGCTGGGCTTGTTCAGCCTGGAGAAAAGGAGGCTCAGGGGCGACCTTATTGCTCTCTACAGGTACCTTAAAGGAGGCTGTAGCGAGGTGGGGGTTGGTCTATTCTCCCATGTGCCTGGTGACAGGACGAGGGGGAATGGGCTAAAGTTGCGCCGGTGGAGTTTTAGGTTGGATCTTAGGTAGAACTTCTTTACCGAAAGGGTTGTTAGACATTGGAACAGGCTGCCCAGGGAAGTGGTGGAGTCACCATCCCTGGAAGTCTTTAAAAGACATTTAGATGTAGAGCTTAGGGATATGGTTTAGTGGAGGACTGTTAGTGTTAGGTCAGAGGTTGGACTCGATGATCTTGAGGTCTCTTCCAACCTAGAAATTCCGTGATTCTGTGATTCTGTAATATACAATACAGACTGTTATATTAAAACAAAAACAGAAACAGAAATGCAAACACACAAATCCTTTTGCATTATTTTAACTTGCTGAAAAAATCTAATCATGCTATCTGTTGAAATCATTTTTTCACATTAAATTTACAGCAGTCTGCATATGACTTTGATTTGGAACTAATATATATCACTGTTCAAAAAAATTTACAAAATGGAGTTATAATATTACATTCTAAAAACCATAAAAATAATGTTTGCCCATATTTATTAAAAGTATATTTTAAAGAATAAATTGTGGTTGATGGTATTGCAAGTATTATTTGTATTTTTTCAGTAGAAATCATGAAAAAGTAAGCTGTTCACAGAAATAGGTGGATATCTGTGTCCATTTATCAATTTAATCCAGGAAAGTCTACTGAAGCTACATATCAGAATCAAAGGAGAAACAAAGGACATTAAATGTCTGTTTTTTTTGGGGGGGGGGTTGTTTTGTTTTGTTTTTTGTTTTTCTTGTGCTGTTGAAATTATTGCTTGCAATACTGAATTATTCTGGGCATTCAGTGCAGGAAGATTCAAATCTTTTCAGTGTGCAGGACACTCCTCCTTGTCTTAGAATACTTTTTTTTTTTTTTCTGAATCATCTGTTTTGAAATGTATTTCCATAGAAATTTTCCAGGTATTTAGCAATTCAATAATAAAAGTCTTGACAAGGTTATTTTGCCTTTTACATCACCAGCACTAGGTAGCAACAGGCCATGATCTGTTTTCGCTAGGAGAAAATGAAAGAAAAACAGAACCTGTTTCCTAGCTCAGCAAACAAATTAAGAACGATGGGATGAAATGTTGTTCCTAAAATGGCACTTTGACTAGTTTAAGTGTGTTTTCAAGGTTTAAGTTTGACAAAAATCAAAGATGGAACTGCATAAAAAAATTTTAAGGCAACAATTCTAGGTTTGTGTTCCATGAGACTAAAGGTGAAGAATCCAGTTTGTAAAATATTTGTATGGCTGAAGTGACAAACTGGGGAGAATGAGACAAAACACAGAAAACACCAACAGCAGGAATGATTAGTAACTAATAGAAGGTTGAAAGAAATTTTATTCATTAGAGAGAAAATAACAGTCTTAGCTAGCAATGAAGGAAAGAAACTAGTTAATGAAAGGTAAAGAAGACAGTGAAGTAGTAAGGAGAGAATAGAAGGAAGATCACTGAAATTTTGTTCCTCATTTCCTAAGAAAATTAGGCATTTGTGGCCACACTTTCAATCCCTCCTCTCATTTCAGAATCAAACTTGAAATACAAATCTCAATGCAGGTATACAGTGAAAACTCAAAATACAACTCACTTTGACAGAAGGGTAGATGCTAGGTTATCATACTGAAAGCTAGCAGATTAAACAAGGTGTCCTGGTGAGGATCAGAGGAGCAATACGATAGGTAGAGAAAACTTTTTAGCCTAGTGGAATAAACTGAACTAGATGCTCTGTCTACCATCTGAGGAGCACAATTAGCCCATTGTTGCTGATGCAACATCTACCAAGATAACTCAACAAAGACCATCTCCCTGAAGTGCTCTAAAATGAAGAGGTTTAAGACTTATTATGTGATGCCAGGGAAAAGAGAGAGAATTTTGGTATTGTATAAAACTTACAATAGGATGTATCTGACTGAGCCCTGCATTTTATCACCTGCCTTGTATGTGGGCATGCTCTCTAACCTGGGCCTGTACATGCGAATAGTAGCAACCTCCAGGCTGGATGAGTACAAGTATTAGTGCCAGATGCTAGAGAGAAACTATGGTCTGAAGGACCCATGGGTCTGGGTGCCAAAAAGTAGAGCGAGCAGGGTGTGGGAATTACACTTAAACTAAGTGCCTAAGGCACTTAGTTTACTGTACTGTAGTGGTATTGGATATTTGCTCTGTGAAATGAGTGGTTGGCCACTTGTTTACTGTTTGCATTTTGTATGTGCATGCACCTATCAGGAATATGTAACTCCATATTGCTGCTCTCTGGGAACGTGGAGCTGCAGAAGCCTTGACTCTTTTGGGCTGAGACAAGAGATTTCCACAAGTCCACCAGATTCATCTATACCTAAGTGTGTTACAGGCTCCTTGTAGAAGCACCTTGCTGGCTCAATTGCCATCACAGGTTAGTGACAAGCTGGGCCTTGCTATATTCTCCAACTCAGTGGAATCAAAGGGATAAAGTAGGTAATGAGTGATAAAACTTCATAGTAAGGTAAGCCTCATTAATCTTTCTGATTGTGAAACAAGTATTTTGTGATTGTTCTTTCTTTCTGGACAATACAAACTATTTTAATGGTATTTCAGGAGTTGTATTATAATCAATGGAACTTTGGATTGAATGTAGCTTTTATCTTTTTTATTGTTTTTATTGTTTTTATTGTATTCAATGATCTTTAATTCAAGCAAAGGGAACAATACCCAGCCATTGACAAATGACATTTCATTTTTTATGTATGCTTATGCTTTTTAAAATGTTCTTTATTTAATATGTATAAATTTAGATAAACCAATATTTATGTTTCAGCTAAGTTTAAAACTATATATACATATATATAGTTTAGTATTTATATGTATATAAAGCTTTTTAGCAAGAATGGTGTTGCTTCCTTCTTTGAACTTTTATTGGCTCGAGTATTTATGTTTTAGATTTTAAAAATGTATATTAAATGTCTATTTAGAACAAGTTAATATAAGTTTTCCAGTAAAGCCAGTTAGAAAAATGTTGCTAATTGACATGCTATTTTCCAGACGTTTAATTCTTTTTTTAGAAATGGTCACGGTAACCACAATCTCCTTTTTTCTCAGCTGTGGTTTTTAGCATGCTCAAATATCTTAGAGAAAAACAATCAAAACTGTAAAATTAGCTTTTGTTAGACAAGTCCATTGAGAATAAACTTTCTTCATGGGAAAATGTAATTGAAGACTACGTCCTTATTTCATTTTTGACAATGTGAACGGAGTTCAAAAATGTACCTTTTAATCCGCAAAATATAATACTATTTAAAGATTATGTTCAGAAGTGTGTTTTTTAATGATAACCATAATGTACTGTTTGCTAGAACACATTTGCATACAGCATGTGCAGACTGTAGGCTTTTTTGTCTCTGAAATTTTATTTTACAACAAGAATGTACTTTTTGCTTTTTGTATTCTTTGTCACTTTTAATATCTTTGGTGATTCTTGAAATATTTGGTGCTGCAAATATGACCTGTTGTTTCATAAATGGACTGATTGAATCTGTCATACTGGTGGAATTTATGGTAAATCCACTGCAGCACAAATGAAACCATGAGAAATTTTATTGTCTAAAATGGCTCAATATAAATCATCTCTTTTCATCAAATGCTATCTTGCATTTAAGTAAAAAAGAAGAACATTCATTTGCATAATAGATTCAATTAGAATACTTAACATCAATCTACTTTACGTATCCAAATGAGAGGAAAGTATTTTCAAGCAAAATTGAAGCAGCTAACTTTTTAAAAAAATGTTTGCTTTTAAATTCCTTCTCAAACAATATTTGTTGAATACATTACTGACTTACAGAAAAATAAAAATTCCATTATAGGAAGTCCAAAATAGGTGTTTGATTTTTAAAAATTTATTTCATTTAATTTGAAAATAAAGTGTTGACTATTAAATCTGAGACCCTTACAACAGAATCTGTTGCACACTGGTGTATTCAGCCAGTTTAGTAACTTGCCAAATACAACATTTAAGGAATATAATTGTTCTTTTTTCATCACTGTCTTATTTAAAATATGATGACCACATCTTTTTTTTACAATAATACGGCATCAAAGATGACTTTTTTTTTCTTTCAGAGCTACATTACAATGGGTGACTGTTTTACGTGCATAGACATTTCTTTCTTCTTTGTAATGGATTTCATTGTACTTCATAGCTTGCCAGTATTTGACTGAAGACACTTTCCTTGTGAAGGCAGACATGTTTCAGTGCCTATTTTGCTTTGTTAAACCTAATAGTTAACTTTGTTATTATGCCTATATGACTACTAACACTGTAATAAAAATCATTTTAATAGTCCTATGAAGCAGACCACATAAACCAAGAACATTTATTTTCATTGAGGGCATGTGCTAATTTTTTATTAAGAGATACATTAAACATTGATACATCCAACCTCTGATTGAACCTTCAGAGTTGTCACATCTAGGGGTAGCTGAAGATTTATTATGCAATATAAAATTAGGCGTATACAGTAAGCTTCATAATAAATGACCTTTGCAGACTGGAGATTGCCACATAGAATAGTTTCTTTTGTTGCACAACAGAAAGGGTTTTGAAAAACAAATATAAAGACATAGAAGCTGGAAATTCTAAAATGAAAAATATTCTCAGAGAAGTTCCAGTTCTATTTACTGTTAAGAAAATATATGCTATAAAGATTATCTTTCAGTGATGGAAAATCGAAATCTAGTAGTTAGACAAACATCTTTTGGCAACATGTTTTTGATATACTATAGGTAGATACTGCTAAAGGATAAGATAAGAAGTCTTACCAGCTAAGATTTTGTTGTATATCAGGAAATGCTTATTAAAGATTTATTAAAAAGCTCACTACAAAAAGACTTTTGTGGTGCATATCACATGTAAGTTAATGGAACAATAAGATAGCTTGGTAGATGTAAATATGTATTAAACAGTAAGGAATGGTATAGAATGACAGAAAGGTTAACCTCTTTGTAGCATATTTAGATCATTACTTTTTCTTATCTCTGTCTTTTCTGTTGATTTAAATACACAGCTGGAAGACTGAAAGATGATTGTTCAAGAGCACAGGCAGCCTTCAGTGGACAATCAGAATGTGCCTACAGCTGGAGAAACTCACTGGCATGACGCCTTTGTTGCTCATAAATCTGATTTCACAGAACTTGAAAAGAAGGTACGTCAAAGATTTAATACAGCTCAGCCACAAAATAGGAATGACAAAAGATCTCATAACAAAACTATCAAAAGCAACATGCAAAGTATATTGAAAATGATACTGTGTGTGAAACCTAAATAAATTCCCATTTTATTTTGGACTATAGAAACCATGGTAATTAGACAAAAGTAGATTTATTAATGGTGGGGAAAAAGAATTAAGTACAAACACCACTTTTTCCCTAATCAGTTCACTATAAAAATACCACATGATTTTTATGAACTTATACTTAGCATTATTATAAAGACATGCCATTGTGTGTCTCATGTTTATATTGAGTAAAATTAGTAGACTTAAGTGTGTAGACTGTTTACTTTTGAAGCATAGAAAATGTGGCAGCACTGTGAGGATGGAACATTTTTCTCTATTTAAATTCAAACAATTCAAACAATTCAAAATTCAAAATGTAGGTGTACAAGTTTACTGTTTAAAGACTGTAAACTCTTATCATAGAGTATGCAGTTCCAAAATTAGCAATTTATTTATATCAGAATTTATATCACAATAAGTAAAATGAAAGTATAATTTAAAAGATTAAGCTGAAACAATCTTAGAAAATGCAGCTGCTATAGCTACCTTACCTTCTGTGAAATGACTTGGTAATGCCTGTGCTGTAATTAATGCACTAGTGATGTGTCACTGAAATTGTGAATAGTGTTGTGTATGGTTTTTGACAATCTAACCCCCCAGGATCCTCATCATTTTTCAATAAGATAGTGGCAGAGTGTTTAAATAATGGGTTATAGCATGCACTGCTGTTACCCAGAATGCATGGGTTAAGGCATAGAGGCTTCACTGCAAGGTAGTCATTTCATTTTATTCCATAAAATTGAAAATATCCACTTGCTGCAGCCTCACAACAGGATAGATGGAATATATCTGCTAAACATTATTAAAAACACCTAAAATTTACTTATGTAACAATGCCAACAGAAACTAGGAAATCAGGGAAATATAATTTTAATTAATAAAATGCACAGAGGTTTTGATTATTAAATTGATAGACAGTACATGTAGTGATCATATACTGCACCAACTGAGGTTATCAGCTTCTGTATATCTGCTTTTCTGAAGAAACAAGAAAAAAAACATTTACCAGTGTGCACATACATCTCCATGGTCTGAGCTGGATCTTGTCTACATACAATGTATATTCAGTATAATCTAGATCATAATGTCTCTGAATTTCACTTTCTGTAAAGCACATCAATTGTGAACAGTGTGAATTCTTTAGCATTAACTCTCAGCTGGTATAAATGTCACCTACATTTACAGCTGGTAAAATAATTCATCTGTTTTTTTAAAAAATGTGCCTGGAACATTTCTACAGTGTGGTAATACACGATCCAAAGCTACTCGCAAGAAGCATCTGGAAAAAAGCTCTTTTCTTCTGGATGGGCTCCTGATACATATTTGCAGAAAGCAAATGATGTACTGAACCATGTGCTGTGACTGTCAACACTTTCAACAGTATGAACTATTTATGTTTTTGTTTAGAACTGATAGTGGTCATTTATTTTAAATTTCTCCTATGTGTTATTGTATTAATAAGAAGTGATTATATCTCTTCAGAAAAAGGGAAACACACACTGTTTTGCTTTTTTGGGGCAAGTCTGCTTTATATTATGGTCATCCAAAATACTTAAGTAGCCCTGAAGACTTTGTTGTCCATTGTTATTCATAAGATAGATGAGACTAAAAGAAGGAATAATACAGTTGAAATACCATATGAGTTAACTGGCTATTTTATAAGTGAGAGTTTATTGTCATGCTTTGTGCTTCCTTTCAATATCTTGCTACTTTACTAGGTAGTGTTCTTTTCTCTGATCAGTTTTTGGTATGGTATGATTTGTGGCGACTGAGGAGAACACTAGTAAATAATCCTTAAAAATGTGATGCAGGAACTCTCAAATATTTTGTACATTCAATTCTGCTATGAAATTTACATCTAATATCCTATACGTGTCACAAATCAAGATACGTTATTGTGTGTGAGAAGGAAGGAATCTGAATGGTATATAACTTGTGGATTATCATTATCTCAATCTTAAAGGCTGATTCATAAGGATTCATATCTTGTGATATAGCTAGTCAAATGAGTCTTGTCTTAAAGCAGGAAACTTGTATTCTGAGTGTTTTTTATTTTTATTTTTTAAATTCCTTTTACATACCTTTGTTAAAAATGGAGAAGCAAGGGCTCTGTGGTTCTATATACAAAACAAATGTTCCCTACATGTCTGTGGGGAGAAAACAGCCACATCTGTACAATGGGACTGAGAGGTCATTGCCAAGCTTTGGGTCACAGCATTAATACAGGTATAGTAGCAGGTCTATGTCCATATACATTTCTCAGCAGGGTCCCATCTCCCTCTAAGGAAAAAATTACATGCCCTTGCCCTTCTGTAAGGAGAAAACAAAGCAAATAATTTGGATTCCTGAGGGAATCATGACTGTAAAGCATGCTACAAACTGCACTTGCTCCACAATAGACCCGACAGATATCAGCCAAGGTCAATATATGAATACAAACATTTTTGCTTTTCTGTCTCCTCATCAAGAAGCAGATTGAAGCCATAATTCCTAGCTTTTATATAGTGTTTCTCTTCACTTTTTTTTTTTTTTTTTGTCATTGCTCTTCTACCCATTTAAAACCTTTCATCATAAATGTCACAGCTATTATGTATTGCAGACAAAATGGATGAATGTGAAGAAATGTTCATACCTCTCTAATACTATGACTTTTCAATGTACTCTTTTGGGACAGTGTGCTTTAGAGGGAAGAGCAGAATGATGGGGCTCTGTCCCTGTTTCAGTTAAGTTAATAACTGGGATGAAAATGGACCCTATGTTTCTAAAGTTTTCCTTTCTCTTTAACAATTCTTCTTTAACACTTCTTTTACCTACTGGCAGGTTAGCAACAAAATTGCCCCAATGGCAGATGTAATCCCTTGATACTGTGATTTTGGAAATGGACACTCCTTGTGTGTTTGGGTTATATTTCTTTCCCTTTTATTTACGAATTGCAGAGTCCTTGGGAAAAAAAAAAAAAAAAAAAAAAAGATGAAACAGAACAGGATGGAAATCACCTTGCCCTGGTATCTCACAATCTTTTTTTTTCCTTACAAAGGCATAGAGTAGATCATAGCTGATATCTCTCAGCTGTGTGTTGTTTTGGTCTGTTATACATCTGTTGAAAAGTGATAATTTTCTTTTACAGAGATTTAAACTACCTCTCCACAGATGTATTTCAACAGTTCAGAATCCCTTGAAGTATGAAGACATCTTTTCTAACTAACAAATTTGAGTATTTTTCCAACTCCCGTGTGTTTTTTTGTTTTGTTGTAGGTTTTTTGTATTGTTTTGTTTTGTTTTGTTAGGCAAAGTAACTTTTGGACATACTGTATTTCGTTTTTTCAATAGAATTGAAACTGCTGTGGTGATGTCCCCAGATTGAGTCAGCAGTAAGGATGAGTAGAAATTCACAACAGGCCCACAAACCCACATACATACAATGTATATACATAGATACGCTTCTGGCCACACAGATCAATACAAACATAAAACAGCACACATACAAACATAGACAGCACCAATGGCCTTATACTGATTCCCTCCTGGCTTTCTGTAATCTGTAAATTCTCTTTTCCTATAAGAGAGCACTCTTGTATTCTCCAACAATCCACTTAGAACACTTCAAATCAAGTTCTACATGATCCCCAAATTCTTTTGCCTGGTATCCCATAATAAATCCTGTCTGTCTTTAGGCAGTTATTCGCTTTTGTTTGCAAGGTGTCCTGGAGAGAATTTTCCAGTTTCTTACAAAGGATGATGCAAGAATTGTTATCATTGCCTAGACCAGTACCAATTCCATGTGTTGTGTTTTCAGTGACTAACTTACTAGGCTCATATCATTGTTCTGATCTTCTGATATTCTCCATGACTCTGTTTTTATGACTTTAGATATATGATATAACACACTGTTTCTAATTTGGTAATATTCTCAAATAGAATTAGAAAAAATTTCTCATAAAAGTAATTAAGATCATTCTTGAGGCTTATACTGTATTTGGGATAGTGAAGGTTTCCACATAAAAATTCATTCAGTAAGACTGGAATGGCTTCTGTATTATAATGTATAATAATAATAACAATAATAACAACAACAATAATAATAATATATTATTATATTATAATAATATATATTATATATTCATGTAATATATTATTATAATATACAATATATAATAAAATTATTATACATATTATTATAATATATAATATACAATATATAATACGTATTATATTGCTAATAATTAATAATTAATAATAAATACTATATGATATGTAGTATGTGATATATACTTATTATTATTATTATTATTATTATTATTATTATTATTATTATTATTATTATTATTTTGTGTCATACCTACTTTTCTGAAGCAGAAGAGACTTCTCATTTACTATCAGAGCAGTACTCACATTTAGTGTGTCTTGCATATAAGGTAAAGACCCTTTTCATTAGATGAAGTATCAGATTGAAAAAGAAAGAAGTTACAGAAAACTTTCAGAAATTCTTTATTAGCAAATTGTTTAATAAGCATATCTAAAATTTATTTCTATCTTTCTTATAAAGAAAAATTGAATACTTGTGATTTGTAAAACTGCAATGTGGTCTTCAGGCAAGAGTCTATATTCCTACATAAAAACAATAAATGTAATGTATGTCATATCCTTTGAGACAATACATTTTTTTGATGTTCAGATAGAATATATTTGCAACTTGCCTTTTTTATGCCCTGTGCATGGATACACCTCATCTTGTTTCAGTTACCAGATACTCTGCTTCAGTACTCCACCTCCATGCATTTCCTCTGCACAGGAGAAATCCATTTGGCCATGAGTGTCTGTATGGCTCCTTGGTATTTTCCAAGAATTCACTTTTGCCTTTCTGTCACTGGTGAGCTCTGTCTTTCAAACCAGAAATATTTTCTGTGCAGCAGAAGTTCTTTAGAAAAGCTTTATCTTTCATTTTTTTTTAAACTTAGGAGGTGGAAAAATCAGAGCTCTCTGACTAAACACTCAGTGTGTGGGAGGAAGTATGCCTTATCATGTGAACTTGTAGAACCTTTTCCTTTTTAGATGACACTTAAAGAATGTGTTCATTCCTTGCACGTTTGACAAAATGATATGTAGAACATAGGTTTATGTAAGACATACCACTTCTTTCAGTGCTGTTTTTGTATGTTTGTTTGTTTGTTTTGTTTGTTATATACACAGAAGCTGATCTGTTGTTCTGGACTTCTAACTGAGCTTTTATTATCTGACACTCAAGTTCAGGATGGCAAGCTTTCTTGGGTTCTTCAGGAAAGACCAGTCTGTAGTTCCTGACTACTGGGGGACATATATTTTACATAGAGAAACAGTTATCTCAGTGTTGTTATTTCTGTTTTGCTTTCTGATGGGTTCACTAACAGTTCAAGCTTTCACATGATCTTTATTTTTCCTAGTGATTTATTTCTTTTCAGAAGAAATGTTCAGTGTGAAGAAAATGAAGATTCTGTTAACACATTTCTGTCTCAGTGAACATTCAAAAATTCAATCTGTACTATGCAGGTTTGTAGAATGATTCTTGGTAATGAGTGCTTTTCTAGATCCTGCAGAATCTCATTTATTTGCTGTCTAACCACTCCCATAAAATAGTATCTGACCCTCTTAGGACCAATTGGTTATATGTACCCGATGTCTTGTCGTCATTTTTATTTTTATTTTTTTTCCAAGTATGATTACACTTGGTGTACTTTCTCACAAACAGAAGATCATTGTTTTTCACACTGTTAGGTTTCTCGTTCTAGGTGAAGAAGTCAGCTCAATTTTCACAAGAGATGTGGTGGGCAGCTGGGTAGTTGAGCTCTACAACTGCTCTCTCACTCCTCCTCCTCAAAGGAAAGAGAGAGAAAATACACTGGGGAAAAAGGAAAGGGGGGAGAAAATACAACAAAAACGCTACAATGGTTGTGATAAGGACAGGGAGATCGCTCAACAATTATTGCCACAGGGAAAAGATTCAGCATAGAAAATTTAATAAAATTTGTTACCTATTACTAACAAGCTAAAAAAGTGAGAAACAAACAAACAAGAACCTAAAAACACCTTCCCCCCGATCCACCCTCTTCTATGTCCTCCCCCTCAAGGGTGTAGGGGAGCGGGGAATGGGGGCTGTGATCAGTCCATAGCATTTCATCTTTGCTGCTCCTTCATGGTCACTCTCTGCCCTTGCTCCAATACGGGGTCCCTTCCAGGGGGGTCCCTCCTGAACTGATCCTAGGGTGTCTGCCCATAGGCAGCAACTCTTTAAGAACTGCTCCATCATGGGTCCATAACACGGGGTATGTCCGTCAGGAGCAAACATCTTCAAAATGGGTCCCCCATGGGTGACAGCTCCCTCCATGCCCCCTGCTCCTGCATGGGATCCTCTCCATGGGCTGCAGCTCCAGCTCATGACCTGCTCCTGTGGGGGATCTCCATGGGCTGCAGCCTCTTCCAGGCCACATTCCCCTGCTCCACTGAGGGCTCCTCCACGGGCATTCCTCCAGGAATGGTGACACCACCACCTCCCTGAGCAACATGATCTAATGCCTGAGCACTCTTTCTGAGAAGAAATGTCTCCTAATTTCCAACCTATATCTCCCCTGGGGCAACTTGAAGCCATTCCCTCTAGTCCTATCACTGGTCATCTATGACAAGAGGCCAACCCTCAGCTCCCCACAACTTTCTTTCAGGTAGCCGTAGAGAGCAATAAGCTATCCCCTGAGCCTCCTCTTCTCCAGACTAAACAACCCCACTCCCCTCAGCCGCTCCTTATAGGACTTGTGTTCCAGACCATTCATCATCTTCCCGGCTCTTCTGTGGACATGCTCTAAGGCCTCGATGTCCTTCTTGTAGTGAGGGGCCCCAAACTGAACACAGTACTCAAGCTGCAGCCTCACCAGAGCAGAGTACGAGGGGACAATTACCTCCCTGGTCCTGCTTGCTGCACTATTCCTGATACAAGCCAGGATGCCATTGGCCTTCTTGGCCACCTGAGCACACTGCTGGCTCATGTTCAGGTGAGCATCGACCAGCATCCCCAGATCCTTTTCCTCTGCACAGGTTTTGAGCCACTCTCCCCCAGTCATGTAGTGCTGCATGGGGTTTGTTGTGACCAACATGCAGGACTAAGCACTTAGCCATATCGAACCTCATTCTATTGGCCCATTGCCATCCTGTCCAGATCCCTCTGTAGGGCCTTCCTACCCTTCAGCACATCAATATATCCCCCCAACTTGGTGTCATATGCAAACTTACTGAGGGTGCACTCAATTCCCTTATCCAAGTCATCAATAAAGAAATTAAAGAGGACGAGCCCCAACACGGACACCTGAGGAGCACCACTGGTGACCTGTCACCAGATGGATTTCACTCCATTCACCGCCACTCTCTGGGCCCGGACATCCAGCCAGTTTTTAACCCAGCAAAGAGTGTACCTGTCCAAACCATGGGCTTCCATCTTCTCCAGGAGAATACTATGGAAGACCGTGTCAAAGGCCTTACTGAAATAAAGGTAGACTACATCAACAGCCTTTCCCTCATCCACCATGGAAGTCACCCAGTCATAGAAGGAGATGAAGTTGGTCAGGCAGGACTTGCCTTTCATGAACCCATGTTGACTGGGCCTGATGTCCTGCATATACTGTGTGATTACACTCAAGATGACCTGTTCCATTGTGATTCATTCATGTAAAGAATGAAAATTCTGTAAAAATTAAACTGAATAATGCAAAACAAACACATTTTGCATGTTTTTGTTGTGTTTTTTCACCATATTTCTAAAGTGCTGACAGCATACACGTCAAATATTTCCAGGGTTGTTTAAGCCACTTTTTCTTTACCCTTTCAAAGACGACATACATGCAAAGAGAGTGAGTTAATTTCATAAGTCATTGATGACAGCATAACCACTGCGTAGCATAACAAAACAGAGCAACAAGTCAATTACATGTTGTCATCACTAATGTGTGAAAATACTTTCTTAATTCTCCCTCCTCCAGCCAGGACCATGTTCTTATTTATGGCACAGAAGATTTACTCTATAATTCAATGTGTCACTTCAGGGAATTTGTAGGAAGAAAGTAAACAGAGACAGACATTTGATGTTGTCCAGAATGTGAAACAGACCTTTTTCCATTTTACAGGAGCTACACTTCTGTATATGTATTTTCAAATTGGAGGGAATTACAATATGAATCTAAAGAAAAGGAAAGCAAGACATTTAGGTTCTGTTTCAGCTGAGTTTCAGTTTCTGTCACCAAGAAATTGGAAACTAGTGGCATCCATGAATGAATGAAGTTTATGAGGAGCAAAGTGTAATTATATTAAATATTTATAGTGTGGTGACTGGATGGCTACAACTGGTAATAGAATACAGAACCTTTAACCTCTAAGTGACCAGTTTCAGTCTGACCTCAGTCAGTTGTGACTGAAGGTTGCTGCCATGTGACAGTTATCAGTGGCCTATGTGAAATGTGTTGCTGGTCTTAGCCTAACTCCAGGTGAATAGGTGGTGATCCCTATGGACCAGGGTTGA